ACATGTTAGGACATTTGTGGTTATTTTTACATTTGTGGTTGACATGTTAGGACATTTGTGGTTATTTTTTACATTTGTTGTTGATTTTTAGCTCACCTTGATATTGTCAAAATGAACCCAGGTCATGAATAATATTTAAGAAGGGTCTATACAGTCTGAATTGACGCCCGAGCATCAAGTGATGATGGGGCAGAATCTCAACCGCTACTACTAGTATACCGCTAAATACTACTGCTGTATAAGCAGTATAATGAGTGTATTTTCAATGCGTTTATATAGGATTGTACATAGCCATAATGCTGGCGGTTGGCAGTTGACGAGGGGCGGTATTACGAGGCTAAATTACGTACAAATATATTCAAACGATCTGTTCATTGGCATTTTCCTGGCGATAAGTGAGGTTGGCGGTATTACGAGGGGCGGTATAACGAGGTTTTATCGTAGTCTAGAATTTGCACGCATCTACACACCTAGCTCCTCCTCCACACACACCTCCCCCCTACATCCCCCCAAAAAATTTCAATTAAAATATAATTTAAATTTAAATTTAAATTAAAAATTAATTAATTAATTAAAAAAATAATTAATTAATTAATTAAACATTAGGACTATAGATCGATACCCCATCCCCTGTTGGTTTTCGGACTAGAGGGCTTTCGGACTAGGGGGTTTTCGGACTAGTGGGCTTTCGGACTATTGTGCCGTCGGACTAGCGAGCAGTCACCCAGTGATATATATGGCCTTTGTGGCATCTCTTTTCACTGTTGTTAGTTACACGTAGTTACACAGTGAAGTGTTGTCAGGTGGTTACCCACTTGGTAAAATAAGTGTTTGCTAATCGGCTAGGGGGGGATAGGAGTGTTATTTGACATGTAAACATGCAATGTACGTGTGTGGTAATGTGATAATTGTTGCAAGAGTAGTACATTTGATTTATATATTGGCATAGGACACATGCAGTGTGCGCTGTGAGTGCGTTCACGTTACACTTTTCGAATCAATTTTAAGATTTTGAGAATCGTATTTCATATGGATTAGCAAACGAAATCCATAATTTTGTTGCCATAACTTTGAGTGAATTTGTTTTTTGTTTTATTCACTGGATTTCAATTGTCATAGGAATCGTATCATCTTTGGCGCGTAAAACGATCATGTTTACAATTTTAAGAATCATGTTTACGTTTTTGCAATACTTGCTAATCAATTGAAATCATCTATTTCCTAATCAATATCACCTTTGTTAATCAAGTTTAAAAAAATCCATGGTGTACACTGGACAAGTGTGTCAAATGTGTAGCCACAAACAATTTACTCTACCATGACGTAGAGACATTTTTACACAAGTACATTTTCTAAATGATAGTTTTATATCAGGCCAAAACAAAATATAGGTGTGGTTACCGTTTCCCGACCGACCCTATTTATTCTCAGCGACCCTAAACATTTTATTGTCAATTTTCTTTGCAGTAAAAAAAAATATATATATAAAAATATGAATTGGACAGTTCCTGCTTCAAAAGGCACAACGCACATCCTTCGAACATGGTTCGTAAATAAAATGTTTCAATAAAATAAAATGTTTTCCCTACCTACCTACCTACCCTATTTTTTTCGGCATGAAACGGTAACCACACCTATATTTTGTTTTGGCCTCATCAATGTATATCTGAAGGCATTGACATGATTAAGTGAAGAAGGTGATTTGGAAGATAAAATTGAATGATTTTTTGTCTAAACATGCAAAAATAGCAGTCGATAAGAATGTGATGGTAAATATAGGCATCACTGAAGCCAGTGGTGCTGGAGAGTTCTGTTTTTCTCCAGGTGTCCTCGGAGCAGTAAATTGCTTTTTCGCTTATCAAAAAGAATCTAACATCAGAAGACCTCTTCAACTGGCACATGTATTTATAAGCCAATCAAGCTCGGTGGTTTTTCATATGTGAAAAAAACTTAACATCTCCTGACTCGAATTGCACATGTATTCATAAGTCTACCCGACTGGAGGCAAGGTCTAGTGATGAGAGAGAGCCAACCGTTCTGTAGATCCAGTGCATGCACGGCAAGCTCTGCAAAGAAAAACTCAATCGGCCATATTGATTTGCTTTTTATCTTTTCGGGGACAAAATTTGCAGTGCCTTTTGCACGTTAACCTCCAGAGCAATGTCACTTGTTCCCCAGACCAAATGGTTGCAGAGCTTCACACTCTGCGGACCGCGTCTTTCTGTACTGCTTGCATTGTGCTTTGGCGATATAAATCGGGCTTTCAGAGCGCGTGTGTGTGTGTGTTTTCGATAGGAGATCCGAGAAGATAACTTGGGTCAGATTTGTTTTGGAGGTCTTTGTGTTGAGACTGAGTGAGAGCTGAGGTTTGTCTGTCGTTAGAGAACTACTGACGCGTGCCTTGGAGTGCACAGCCATGAAATTTCATAATATGGTATAACTTGGTACAGTATTATAGTACTGCTCTTGCACACAGCCTCTTACTGAATCCTAAAAGAAGAAAGAGAAGTTGGATCTCCGATTCTGCTGTTTCCGTGAAGCTTTTATACAGTAGCAAACTTGTCAATGCAATTAGTTTGTGCCAAGGGACCTATTATGCGATAACAGTACTTATTGCCTTCTTGTTGTCATTAGCAAATCACTTTGTTAATTGAAGCTGATCGATATGAAATTGCACCTATTTCATTGATTTGTCGGACACCGGATGACAGCAGGCAAAATTTGCAATATTTCAGGAAACCCGTTGGTTTTAGTAATTGCGTGTTTTGCAGCGTGCACGCTAAGGCTCCTGCTACTTTACTTGGAACCATCAAACTTTTGCACTGGCAATAGCCTACGTAGCTCGATGGACAGTTCCAGCACATTTTATATATGTGTTACGCGTGCATGCGTATGTGCAATCAGTAAGGCTGTACAGACAAGCTTAATGATTGCATGAGGCCAGTGGCTCTTGCTCAATATAATGTTGTGTTACATAACTTATATTATATTGATTAAAAATAAATAATTAACCATTATTTCCATTTGCTTTTTAACTAATGACTTCAGTTGTGTAATTATTTATACAGGCGTCAATTAGTTAAATTTTTAATTATTACCATATGCACGTGCGTGGGAGTTTTTTTCCGTGGCCATTGAGTGGTGTGCGCATTGCTGAGCTGCATTGATTGGATTTCTGTCTTTCAGTGCGATGAGGACTGATCAGTGCAGCTAGGACTGAGAGGGATCGCAGTGGAGTAGCCGTGCTAATCCTACGAGTCGCCGGTGAAGCCCCGAGTACTGGCTGGGCCCCAGCGTGCGTCCATCGCTCCCGCCCGCATCACGTCTCTTAAGACGGACTGCGATCTTTGTCGGTCTCGCCGTACACGACTGTTCGTGCGGGTGAGGAGTGTGTGTGTGCGCGCGCGCGTTCGCTCGAGCGCTTGCCGTGTAGAGAGAGATGGTGCCTCGTCATCGGCTTCACGTTGAAGTCTTCCCCGCAGCATGATTCTACGACGCTGCGGTCGTCTTATGATACCTGGAGTGCAGTGGTAGCAGCAGCAGCAACACTACCACCACCGCCAGCAGTAGCAGCATCACCAGCAGCAGTAGCAGTAGGGACAACAGCAGCACCACCACCAGCAGCAACAACAGCAGCAGCAGCAGCACCACCAACAGCAGCAGCACCACCAACAGCAGCAGAAGCAGCAGCAGCAGCAGCAGCAGCAGCAGCAGCAGCAGCAGCAGCAGCAGAAGCAGTGCAGCATCACCAGCAGCAGTAGCAGTTGTGACAATAGCAGTAGAAGCAGCTGCAGCAGCAGCATCTTCTGCATCCCTGCGCGGAGGAGGAGGGGGATCGGCCGTGACGACGAGGTCGACGACGACGACGCGATGGCAATGCCGTCGGGGCGAAGCCCGCAGATGCTCTACACGATCGAGCAAGTCGAGCTGCTACGCAGGCTGCGAAACAGCGGCATGTCCAAGGAGCAGATCTGCCAGGCGTTCGACGCGATGGACCGGCTGGACCGAGAGTTCCCGGCCGTCTACAGCAATGCGCTGACTCTCACGCCCTGCGCGCAGCAGCAGCAGCAGCAGCAGCAGCAGCAGCAGCAGCAGCAGCAGCCTCCGCCGCCGCCCCCGCCCCAGCAGCAGTTCAGCAGCTGCAACGGATACGCGAGCATCAACAGCCCACGCAGCTTCGCTTCGAATCTGAACGATACGCGCAGCGAGGACAGCAATGATTACGTTGATTCGAACATGGCCAGCCCTGACGTCGTGCACGTGAACGGCGGCGCGGGCGGTGTAGGGGGCGCCGGTGGACAGAATGGCGAGCGTGCGATGCCGGTACAGTATGAGGACAGCACCCTACAAGTCGAGGTCGATGACTTTATCAAGTATGTAAGGCAGGGGGCGCCACACGTGCGCGCGTCGCAAAGCCGCGTGAATGTAGGCAGGGGGCGCCATGCGCGCGCGTCGCAAAGCCGCGTGAATGTAGGCAGGGGGCGCCATGCGCGCGCGTTGCAAAGCCGCGTGAATGTAGGCAGGGGGCGCCATGCGCGCGCGTCGCAAAGTCGTGTGAATGCATGCATGGGGGAGTGATTGCATTAATTTAGTTTTTTCCCAGTTGAGTACGTATCAGATTTGTGTGTGCAGGCAGGATGCTGGATGTGGAGAGGAGGATTCGTTAGCGAGTACGTAAGGCCAAAACAAAATATATGTGTGGTTACCGTTACATGCCGGAAAAAAATAGGGTAGGTAGGTAGGGAAAACATTTTTTACGAACCATGTTCGAAGGACGTGCGTTGTGCCTTTTGAAGCAGGAACTGTCCAATTCATTTTATTTTTTTCATTTTTTCAGAAAATTGACAATAAAATGTTTAAAGGGTCGCTGGGAATAAATAGGGTCGGTCGGGAAACCGTAACCACACCTATATTTTGTTTTGGACTAAGTAGTGGGTGACACCTGTGCGTGTGTCACACGTCGTCTAGCATTCTGTGCAGGACTCTAGAATTCATGGCATACGTAGGCTAGGGGATGCGTAGCAATAGATGACCTCCATCCTCCACATCTCGATTTTTTCGAGTACATGAGTAAGGATTTTGAATTTGCGGAGGATGTGGGCAGTGGGAAGGATTGTGTCGGATGTCCATCACGAACACTTGTCTGAAATTTTGGGGTGTGTGGGCAAGGGGGTCACGTTAAAGACTGGCGTTGACCACACATGTCTCCATTTCACTTGGGCCTCACACAGCTGGGCTGTCATCAGGGCCTAATCCCAGCCATTTTTCATACCGAATACAGGCGCCCAAATTACGACCCCTAGCCCAAATTACAAAATTTATAAAACGCCCAAATTAGCAGAGCTCTGAAAATTGTGAAAATTATATCTCCGTGTTTCTATCGTTATAGTGGTTCATTCTGTTACTTATCTGAGGTAAAAAGAAAACATATTCATGGATATATTGAAACAATTGTGTTATATTTTAGGATGATGTTAATTTTAATGTTATTATACATCTACACTATACCTAAAAATTATTTTCCAAAATTTTCCAAAGGGCCAAAAAAATATTTTCCCGCTTGCTGCGCTTGCCATGGGTGCCCATATTAACACGTTTAACGCTGCATGGTTAACAATGCACCTACCGCCATGTGCTGAGATTTTCGCGTTTTCCCCGCTTAGTCACTTATTACACAAAATGTTTTTGGCAGGTTTAACTAGCTATAAAATTATTTTTAATTCGTGGCTAGTATAATATAGATATAAACTTACTCTCACTGTCTCAGACATCAAAACAACACCCGTGATCAATAAAATCAAACACAACTCTCAGACATCAAAACAACTTCACAACAACCGGCGGTGAAACGCCCTTTGGCGAGGTGAACCAAAAACATTACCTCAGTCTCAAAAACTCCCAAAATAACATTCCAAACAACAGTAAAGTATTGTATAAATTATGTCATCTACTACTGGGGTTTATACAGTGACGCTGTTGAATTTCTAAGCGTACAGCCCCTGACATCTATAGGAGAACATAGTAAACGTATATATATATATATATTTTTTTTTTGCCACGAGTATACTTGTGTTTCGCGGCCGTGCGTTTTGCAGGTTCGAACGAGTATACTCGTGTTTCGCGTTGAATGTGTTAACCAGCTAGATTAGTTCCTGGTCATTATCTGTTGCCAGCAACCTGACTAGTAGGGGTTTAATGTTTACACAGTTTCGTGCAACGTGGGTGAGGTGTTCATTAGTGCTAGCTGGGTGTGGGCAGAGAGGGTTCGTGTTCTATTCAGGCGTACACTGGGATGCAGGCTTTGTCAGAAAAGGGGGGGTGGGGGCGGCGGCTATGGTTGGAGGTCTTCTTTATGTCCTACAGTAGGCTGCATCGTTAGCTAGAGAGGCTCTGAATTCTCCTCAGATAACTTAAAAGTTTCGTCAATGGTATTGGCTAAAATGTATTCGGGTAGACATTACTGAGGGCTCTCTTTCTTTCTGTTTCTCTCGCTCGCTCACTTTCTCTCTCTCTCTCTCTCTCTTTCTCTTTCTCTCTCTCTCTCTCTCTCTCTCTCTCTTTCTCTCTCTTTCTCTCTCTCTCTC